AGCTCTTTGCTGCGTAGCTACGTCTAGCCGCATCGATTTTAAACTTAAAGCTCTTCGTTATCAAGCTTCCTTGACCTATACAGCCCCTTCGGCAGAAGAAAGGACAAAATGAAACCAAATATTACTCAGCATGGAAAGTGGTTCACTCAACGAGAAAACCTTGCTGGATTTCAGCGTCTGGAGGTGTTCCTCCTCGATCACAAGTCTGTGGGAGCCTTTTTCTTTGCCGCTTCGCCTTGGGATTTTTATCTGCGCATCTAGCAACAAGCTTCATCTTCAAAATCTTGGATCAGTGGAAATTTTTAGGCCTCTGTTTAGTAAAAGGGCATTGGGGTATCTTTCTTTTGAGTGACGGAATTCTAGTAAGGTACATTTGCGCTAATCATGATCGCCCTTTTTCGTTCTGAGTTCTGCATAAAAAACTGAGTAGAGTTTGATCTAGCTGTCCACTTTTCATTGCCTCAAGCGGGGTTCAATTTGTTTTTCCTCACATCAAGCTGAAATTAACAGAAAAAGAAACGGTCCATCAAAATTTATTTTATTAAGACCTTTTTTTAAGACCTTGAGGTTTCAATTTATATCAACCTCTAATCGTAGTAAGCGCTCTTTAACAAAGAAAATTTAAAAATGTTCGTTAACACTGTCTACGTACAGCATTAAATGCTTTTCCACGGTTACAAACATTTTACCCGGTAGCATAGGCTTCAAGAACTTTACCTTATTTTCATTATTATTATTGCAGCATATTGAAAAGTGCGAATTTAACTCTTATAATTTTTTTTTTTTTTTTTTGTTTTTTTTTTTTTTTTTTTTTTGGTGATTAAGACTTTGTAATTATTTTTTTCAGCAGAATTTAAAATTGTAACTTTAAGAAATATTCGACCTTGATTGCTTGGCTCCATGCAAACGAGATTATAAGCCGAGCGGTAACTTCTGCGGAGGAAAGAACGCGTTAAATTCAAAACTGAATGTCATGCATCTTACTTTTAGTCACTCGTGTTATCTATAATTGATAATCTCATACCACTAAAATTTCCTGTTC